AGCTGCCTGGCTGCCGGCCGCCATCTTGGCTGGCAGTTAATTTGCATATCACCCTAATTAGCCAATGGGAAGGGTAGCGGTTGTACGCTAATTACCATGTTTCTCTTTTATTAGATAGGATAGAATAAACTTGCTTAATTAGACCTGCTTTCTGATTTAGCTAAACTTTTTCCCGCTCAGTGAAGCACCCCAACTTCTCAGGTAAATGTCAGCAACACAGCAGTAAATATCAACACGAAGCAGATTATTATTGTAGATCATGTAGGGATAACAAAGGGTAAAATATTTAACTGTAGCAGTGTTTGACTAAATTCTGTGCTGTGAGAAAACCTGAAGTCATTTTCAAGGTCCACCATTTCTTCTTTTCAGTCAGGTCAAATTTCTAAGCTTTCTAAATCTCCATTTTCTGGCTAATGAAAAGAAAATAGGATTCTACTGAGTCTCCTATCTACCTACTCCAGGACTTCTGTGAGGATCAAATGAGATGAGGCACATGAAAATGCTTCACAAACGTTTGGTTAAATTGTAAAATGTTTGCACCTGGTTATAAAGCAAGTTGAGTTCCTGGGCTGAAGAAACTCCAAGGAGGCTAGTTGCTAGGGAGCGGAAGCTGGGTGTTGCTATGTGACGTCATTACCTGGCACCTACACCAGTGCTGGGTCTGAGGCCACTCAGCAGAAATCTCTGTGCTCCAAGCCCAGTCACCACCCGCCATGTGCTTGCAGACTTTTGTGGTGGGTTGTCATCTCGGATTCGTTAGGGTGGGACCGATGACTGTATTATGGCCAATTGATGTGGTAGAGTTCGTCAGACCAAGATTTCACTGTGAGTAGGGAGGACTGTGCATTGTAGGACTCCGCTATCTTTGGGCGTGCAAGAGAGAAATAGCCCCTACCCCAGAGCCACGTAAGTCAGTCTCTGACACCTCCTGTATATGCCCAGACTTTGTCAAGATCCGTTCTGGAAAGTGCACCCCAGGTTCAGGCAGCTGACTCCTCTGTAGTAAGCATGGTAGAGTGAGCAACAGGTAGGTGGGTGGAGCCAATGAATCCCCCCAAGCTGATGCTGTATGAAAGGGAGTGATCGACCCAGGAAATATGGTATCTGTGGGCTTGTGGTGAGGGACTCCCTGGAGCTACTCAACTCAGTCTCTCCTCTCGACCTCTATCTGCTTTGAGCCATTCTTTGACACAGCCCAGGGTGAGTGGCTGTGAATGAGATTTTGTGGCCATCTAAGGGGCCTGCCTGGGTTTTTAGCAGAGTCCCATTTCCCCCTCGCACACAGAATTTCTGATTTTCACAGCCAAATATTATGTGGGCTCCTTTTCCAGCTCTGGTGCCCTTGGTTGGGGAGCCCAGCATGGGGTTGAGACCTCTTGCTTCTCTCAGGGGACTTTTTTAGCTGAACTATCCCTCCGGGTTCTCAACTGCTACATGTGGGTGCAGCTCCAGCCCTTGTCTCTTCACCCTTCCTACTAGTCTCGATGTGGCTTCTTGTGAAAATCCTTGGTTATAAGACTCCTGTTTAGTCTTCAGTTGGTTACTCAGGTTGACTGTTTTATAATTTAGTTGTAATTCCAGTTGTAATTCCTGGGAGGAAGTATGTGTAACTTCCACTTACTCCACCGCCATCTTGGATGCCCTGACAGTATTTCTGTCTTGGATTTATCAAAATAAATCACACCAATTGTTTTAGTATGAAGATGTCCTAATAAACATGCAACTACAATTAATAGGTTAGTAAGTTACATTTAATTATGTAACTTTTGTGATCAGTTTTTGGTTTACAGAGAATATCATATATCAAGAATTTTGATACAAAAAGATAATTTCTCACCTTAAGCCCCTCAAAAAAAAAAAGATAATTTCTACTTACTGTATTATGACCACTTGATGTGATCGATATGGGCAATCCAGATGTATATTAGGCAGAATCCAGTGAATGATTTAAAAATTTCCTTGGATAATCCATAAAATCAATAATTAAAATACAGATAAGTGAGAGTTGCAATATATGATAGAGATGATGTACTTTTCAGAAAAAAAAACCCTCTCTTTTTATTATAATGACCTGCTTTTGGTATTTCATTATTACTAAGATCTATTTTTAGAATAAAATTTTGTCCTCTATGAAAATAAGAAATTAGAATTATTCTTGGGTAATGACTTCATAATGGTAAGTGTAATCAAGCTTGTTTAAGATTACTTTAAAAAGCATTTTAGTAGCAATATGTTGTGAAGATCATAACTATAGCTATGGGAAAACAGCAGTTGTCTCAATTATGTTATTAGAAACTTAGAGGTTAGGGTAAAATTACCCAGGAGTTGCCCTACAGGCTTGTACAAAAAGCTTTTATTCTCGCACCATTTATATGGAGTTAAGTAGAAGTTATATGTAATTCTACCTAGTATGGACACTAAAATGACTGTAGCCTAGGGGGTAACGTGGGGATAAGGACACATATGTAATAACTTAATCAATAAAAAAATAAATGACCGTAGCTGTGATTTATTGCTTCAAGTGGATTACCTCATTTAATTTTCACAATGACTCTGTTAGGTAGGAACTGTTGTTATCTCACTTTTATAGCTGAGATAACTGCTGAGGTCACTTGTCAAGTGGGCGGAAGAACTGGGAGCCGGACCCGGGCTGTCTGACTCCTAGATCGGTGCCATGATATGCTGCTTGTGTAGCTTGTAGTACGATGTAACTTAAGGGCTAAAAGAGTGACTGTGGTCTAGAAACTGGAAGGTCACATAACTTCTTTTTTAATTTAATTTTATTTTTTTAAAATATATTTTATTGATTTTTTTACAGAGAGGAAAGGAGAGGGATAGAGAGTTAGAAACATCGATGAGAGAGAAACATCGATCAGCTGCCTCCTGCACACCTCCTACTAGGGATGTGCCCGCAACCAAGGCACATGCCCTTGACCGGAATCGAACCTGGGACGTTTCAGTCCACAGGCCGACGCTCTATCCACTGAGCCAAACCAGTTAGGGCTATTTTATTTTTAAATTTCTTTATTAAGGTATTACATATGTGTCCTCATTCTCCCATTGCCCCCCTATACTCCCACTCATGCCCTCACCCCCCCCTGTTGTCTGTGTCCATTGGTTAGGCTTATAATCAGTGGTTCTCAACCTTCTGGCCCTTTAAATACAGTTCCTCATGTTGTGACCCAACCATAAAATTATTTTTGTTGCTACTTCATAACTGTAATGTTGCTACTGTGATGAATCGTAATGTAAATATCTGATATGCAGGATGGTCTTAGGCGACCCCTGTGAAAGGGTCGTTCGACCGCCAAAGGGGTTGCGGCCCACAGGTTGAGAACCACTGGCTTATATGCATGCATACAAATATTTTGGTTGATCTCTCCTCCTTACCCCACCCTCCCCTACCTTCCCTCTGAGGTTTGATGGTCTGATCAATGCTTCTCTGTCACATAACTTCTTTAAACTTGAGTTTCTGCAACTGTAGAATGGATGCTTTTAGTAGTAAATGGGATACTTCGTTTAAAATATCATACAGTGTATGCTAAACAAATGGTTATTAATAATCACGGTAGTTATGATAATGATTACTTTTGTTTTTGTGATTTATCACAGCTCCATATCTCTGTGGCCCAAGGTTTTCAAGATTTTTTATGAAGCACAAAACATAAAGTGGCTAGTGTTTTTGTTTTAAGTTACAGTACTTACTAGCTTTTTGTTATATGTCGAAGTATTACTATGAATTAGTAAGAGAAAGATATTTTGATTTCAGCAAGAGACAGAAGTTATACAAAATCACTTCTTTCTTTGTGCTTCATAATTGCTTGTATGTGTGTGCATGAGAGAGTGAGAGTGTGTGAGTTTGTGCTCCTGCCTGAGCCATAGAAAAGATTTCTTCAGGACTTGTGCAATGGGGCTGGAGGGTGTTTCATGTTAGATGCTGTTGTGAACAGAGAAAACCATAGGGTCCATTTTTTTTGGAGGGGTTAGGCCAGTACTCCTAGGAAAGTTTGTGATAAATTGGAAGAATCAGGGTTTGATTCCAGGGATTAGAAGTTAAAATGATGGCAAAGACCAGGTTTAGTGAAAATGAGGGAGTGGGAAACTGAAAGGCTAGGAGAGTCTCAGCGGTTCTCAACCTGTGGGTCACGAACAATGAAAATACATCCTTCATATCAGATATTTACATTACGATTCATAACAGCAGCAAAATTACAGTTATGAAGTAGCAACGAAAATAATTTTATGGTTGGGGGTCACCACAACATGAGGAACTGTATTAAGGGGTCGTGGCATTAGGAAGGTTGAGAACCACTGGAGGTAGAGAGGAAGATATTTGTTAAGATTTCAGAAATTTGTAAGGAGTGATGGAGTTAAAGGCTAGAGAACTGGAGGTATGAAAAAGGTTTGTAGATTGTGTAAATTTGCCAGGGTTTGGGCAAAGAGGTGAAGGGCATGTTGTAGGAAATTGCTATGTCCATAAGGAAATGAGCTGGGAGAATAGGACCCATTGATTAGGGATGAGGACAGGAAAGAAACTAACTGGGGACCATGGGTGGGGCTGCTTTAGCATTCTAGAAAACAGTACCTCTTAGTACATTTTAAAAGATGGGCATTATTCTTTCAAAATCATTAGAGAAGAATCTGTATTAATAAAATCAAACTTTTGTGAACTTTCTGGTCATGTTCATTTTCTTGGCTAGGAATAAAAACTCAATTTATAATGATTTTTGATGATTAATTTATGTCAGTATGAAATTGATTAATTAGAAGTTTATATACATGTTCTGTACAATTAATATTGGTGCAGTGCTTTCTTTAGCGTTTTCATTTTGCGAGGTTATTAGATTCAAAATTTTCTGGAGCAGAATGTGTTTTCAGAGGAAATTTTACTTTTTGGGGAAATAATTTATAAAAGTTAATTTGGAAAATGCTGAAATTGAATATGTGTAGCTCTTAAAATTGTGAACTTTTTGCATTTACATTGACATTCTTTTGTATAGGAGTTAAAGTTCCTCGTAATTTTCGCTTGTTGGAAGAACTTGAAGAAGGACAAAAAGGAGTAGGCGATGGTACGGTTAGCTGGGGCCTTGAAGATGATGAAGATATGACACTTACAAGGTGGACAGGCATGATTATTGGGCCACCAAGGGTCAGTGCTATAAATTATATATTTTTATTGATATTTATATCCATTTTACAGTAAGCATTTTGCAATATATTAAAATAAATAATTATGATAAATTCTAACTGAAACAATTACTCCCTTTTTATTTTGTATACATTTACTGATGCTACCATTGTGCACAATATGATACTTGATTTTCTGGAGAATTGGGGGGAAAAGATTGATATAGTCATTGCCAGCAAAGTGTTTGCAGTTTAGTAGAGAAGAAAAAATAAATGTAAATGACAGACTCTAAATATGGCAGAGAAAGATCACTATGGGACTTTAGAATATGTTTCTTCTAGCTGGAATAATTGAGGAAGGCTGAACAGTGGAGGAAGTTGCCTTTGGAATGAGCCTTAAAGAACTGACTAGTAGGATTTCAGAAGGTGGTGATGGGGATGGAGAACATTCCAGATAGAGAGGAGAAAAGGTGAGGAAATGGAGGGGTTATTTGGGAAGAGCAAACACTGTGTTTTGACATAATATATTACTAACTCACTGTGTGTAACCAATAATTTCTAAATTGGTTTCTTTTGAGAGCACGTTGCTATTTGCTTTGTGATATTTGACTTGCCATGTAAATGTGTAGGCCTCAGTTTCTTCATTTATAGAATATATTGAAAAGTCTGTGATTCTTGAATATTTTCTTGCGATGTTGGAAGCAGGCCCATTGTTTTTTATTCTTAGGTCTTTCTAAAGTTTGTGAAGTTTTATTTTTACTCAAAATATTTTCAGTTTGGGAATTTTTTTTCTACTTTGCGTTTCTTACTCAAAGGTCCTATTTATTGCACTCCCTGCAGTGAATCTTTGAAATATGTATTGTATAATGTTTTGACTTGCTGAAAAAAACACAAATTTGAAGTTTTTTTTCCTCACTCTGGTTTTGTATAGTGTTTGCTACCTTGTTAACTGAACATTTCACGTATTTTCCTGTTGGGTAGAATTTAAATTTCCTGTTGATTATTGTAAAAGAAAACCGGATCAGGTAATTAGCAATGTTAAATTTAAAGAATTAATTAATGAATGTTTTATATTTTCTGGTATTCTTTTGCAAAATTTATATATACTACTAAACTAACAAATGCCCCCTCCCCCCATTTTTTCCATAAGACTTATGAAGAAGGAAATATAATACTGGTGATTAGAATTTTTTATGTGTTTTATAACTTGGTATTTATAATGAAAACTTTGATTTTCACTGCCTGTGAACATTATTACCATGGTCTGTCTGGTAAAAAAAAAAAGAGTTGCTTAATTGAATAGTTTGAGATGGTCTGAACTTGATGGAGTATAAATTTCAAAAAAATTTTTTGTCTGTTTATCCTCACCTGAGGATATTTTTCCATTGATTTTTAGAGAGAGTGGCAGGGAAGGGGAGAGACTGGAAGAGGGTAACATCGATGTGAGAGAGACGACACATTGATTGGTTGCTTCCCACATGCACCCCCACTGGGGCTGGGGATCGCGCCTACAGCTGAGGTATGTGCCCTTGACTGGAATGGAACTCGGGCCTCTTCAGTCTGTGAGCTGACGCTCCATCCACTGAGCCACTACCTCCAGTGAACTTTAAACTTGAAGAATGTTTTGGAGCTTATGTATAAGTTCCTCAACCATTTTTGTGGGCTGTTTCAAAGCACAGGTAGCAAATGTGGAGGATCAGCTGCCTGATCTCTGTGGCCACCGGCAGGACTCTCCAAGTTGGTGTCATAGGACTGCAGGAAACCCCATGTCTAGGCTGTGCCCAGTGTGGGGAGGGAGGGCACACACTTTTCTAGCTGTGGGGAGGGTAGAGCCTGCTCAGCAAGCGGGGGGCACATAGACCAGTGCTGCTGGCTGCCAGGCCAGGCTTCTTGTCCAGTGAGTCCTCTCCTTTCAGTTAGTCTGTGAGCACCCTCTCACTCTTTGGTGGCAGGAAGAGGGTGGAGGGGAGGACCTTGCAATGGCACCGTACTCCTCCTAAGCCAGACTCTTCACCACACAGTGATGTTCTGCCTTGCCTCCTCTTTCAAGTTATCTCCCTCACTGGGGCACTTGGGACTGGGTGAAGGTGAGTGGTCACAGCACTCATTTGCCATTTAATAAAACCTGCTGAGATTGGTGTCTCATCTTAGTTTTCTGTTTAGAAGGTGCCATATTTAGAGCAATTTTGTCCGCAGCTTTAGCTATCCACATTCAGCCAGGGTAATAGGAAAATTCTTACCTCAACATACTGTAACTTGGTCAGCTGTTTTTTTTGTTTGTTTGTTTGTTGCTACTGCTTAAGATTACTGTTTTGTTTTTTTGTTTGTTTGTTTTTTGTGTGTGTGTTACTCCAGTATCTGGATTTATATGATTAGCAACTTTGTTTTTCGATATATTTGTGTGTCAGTTTTCTGAAGCAATATTTTTTAGCTTTAGAAGTTTACTTTTCCTTATATGTATGTTTCTTTATATGTAAATGGAAGTACTATATCCATCTTTTGGATATGAATTAATGAATTAATAGACAATAGAGTATCTGACTATAGTACATTCTTTTTTAAAAAAAATATTTTTATTGATTTCAGAGAGGGAGAGAGAGAAATATTAATGAGGAGAAAGAATCATTGATTGACTGCCTCCTGCACCCCCTCCACTGGGGATTGAGCCAGCAACCTGGGCTCTGACTGGGAATCGAACCATGACCTCCTGGATCATAGATGGATGCTCAGTCACTGAGCCATGCCTGCCAGGCATTCTTAATAATTATTAGTTCCTTTTATTACTCTCCTCTGTTTTATTTCATTCTTTTGTTAGATAATAGAAAGATTTGGTTGTTAATTTAAAAGAAATTAATTGAAAAGAAAAATTAGCCCAAGGTATCAAAAGTTAGTATGATGTTTACTCTGAGCACTGAATTAGATTAATAGTTTTTTGATTTAAAAAAAAATTTGAGGTGTAATGTACATATAGTAAAATGTATACCATTAGTTTTGATAAATGTACCTTGTTACCCACATGCTTATCGAGATAGAGAACAATTCTATTACCTCAGAAAGTTCTCTGTGTCCCTTCTCATCCTCATCCCCACCCTGCTTTGTGCGCCTAGAGTAGTTTTGACTGTTGTAGAACTTGGTATAAGTGAAATCATGCAGTGTGTTCACTTACCAGTTTGCTTCTTTTGACTTGGTATAGTAATGTCTCAGAGAGTCATCTGTGTTGTTCCATGTAGGAGTAGTGTTTTGTTTTTTTTATTACTGAGTACTGTTTTACTTTATTGATATACCATAGTATGTTTATCAGTTCTCCTATTCATGGGTGTTTGGATTTTATCTACTTTCTGGCTATTACAAATAAAACTACTGTGAGCATCCTTTACACGTCTTTCTGTAAACATATCGTTGTCTTCATTTCTCTTGGTTAAAATGCCTAGATATGGAATTGCTAACTCATAGGATAGGTGTATGCTTATCTTTATAAGAAAATGCCAACTTGTTTACAAAATGGTTATGATTTTTGACACCCAGCAGTATGAGAGTTCTGGTTGTTTCCATATACCTTGAGTATCTTTAACATTTTGAATTTGCAGGGGGTGTGTGTGTGTGTGTGTGGCTATTATTATTATCATTATTTTTAAAATGCAAGTTTTTAGAGAGGCGGATGTGCATCCAGATTGGAGAACCATAGACTAGATGATTTCCTTGAGATCTATCTGGTCATTTGTATACATATCAAAAGTGCTAGTCATATTAATATATTTACCATTAAACTGCAATGAGTTTTTTTTATTATTATTAATGAATCTTTATTGTTCAGATTATTACAGATGTTCCTCTTTTTTTCCCCCATATCTCCCCTCTACCTGGTTCCCACCCACCCCATGCCCTTACCCCCTGCCACTGTCTTCATCCATAGGTGTAAGATTTTTGTCCAGTCTCTTCTTGCACCCCCACACCTCCTTCCCCCCAAGAATTGTCAGTCCACTCCCTTTCTATGCCCCTGATTCTATTATATTCACCAGTTTATTCTGACTTAATTTTTAGGTTCACTTGTTGATAGATATTTATTTGTTGTCACTTTGTTGTCCATAATTTTTTTCTTTACCCTTTTCTTCTTCCTCCTCTTCTTAAAGAATATCCTTCAGCATTTCATATCATCCTGGTTTGGTGGTGATGAACTCTTTTAGCTTTTTCTTGTCTGTGAAGGTCTTTATCTGACCTTCAATTCTACATGATAGTTTTGCTGGGTAGAGTAATCTTGGTTGTAGGTTCTTGCTATTCATCACTTTGAATATTTCTTGCCACTCCCTTCTGGCCTGCATAGTTTCTGTTGAGAAATCAGCTGACAGTCGTATGGGTACTCCCTTGTAGGTAACTGACTTTTTCTCTTGCTGCTTTTAATATTCTCTCTTTGTCTTTTGCCCTTGGCATTTTAATTATGATGTGTCTTGGTGTGGTCCTCTTTGGATTCTTCTTATTTGGGGTTCTCTGCGCTTCCTGGACTTGTAAGCCTATTTCTTTCAACAGGTAGGGGAAGTTTTCTGTCATGATTTCTTCTAATAGGCTTTCAGTGTCTTGTTCTCTCTCTTCTTCTGGCACCCCGATAATTCGGATGTTGGTACGTTTGAAGTTGTCCCAGAGGCTCCTTACACTATCTTCATATTTTTGGATTCTTTTTGCTTTTTGCTTTTCTGGATGGGTGTTTTTTGCTTCTTCGTATTTCAAATCTTACACTTGATTCTTGGGATTCTCTAGTCTGCTGTTGGATCTCTGTATAATATTTTAAATTTCAGTCAGTGTATGTTTAATTTCTGACTGGTCCTTTTCCATTTTTTTGGTATTCTCATTAAGATCCTTGAAGGTCTCACTAAGTTCCTCGGAGGTTCGTAGAAGGTTCTTGAGTAAGCCTTATAACTGTGGTTTTGAACTGTATGTCCTCCATCAGTTTGTTTTCCTCCATTTCTTTCATTTGTGACATGTTTCTTTGTCTCCGCATTTTTGGCTGACTGCGAGGACCCTCTGTGTCTACAGTGGAAGAACTGCTGTGCTGGAGACACCCTTATGGGGTAGGACTTGCTTCAGTGAGGCTTTGGTGTTCACTGAGTCTGCTTCTTGAGTGTGTCCCTAATGGGTGTGAGGAGTTGAAATCTGGTATCTGGCCAGGGGTACCCTGGCTCCTGGATCTCCAAGTCAACCACTGTGTGAGTCCACCCAGCAGGAGCTACAGCGATATCAGCAAATTTCTCCTCTTTGTTTGGGGTTTGGAAATTTTGGAGCTCGCTGACCCAGCTGCAGTTTGTTATGTTTGGCTGCAAAAGCGCAGTGGTTCCTTTGCGCCACTGAGCACAGCTTGGATGGGGATGTAAATTGAGTAGGGCGGGGTCCCAAAGATCACCAGGGCAGAGCAAACAGCAATGGCTGTCGTCAGTGTCTCCGTGACTCTGCGCCTCTGCGTGCCCCAGTCCCTCTGCGTCCCCGAGTCCCGCGCCCCCAAAGCCACAATGATCCCTGCGAGCAGCACTGCGAGAAAGCCACCCTCGCTTTCCAACCCGCTGCAAGACAGTCCAGTTTCTCCCCATAGGAGTCTGGGACCCCAGAGTCTTGCCATAAGTGAGTTCAGTGCATTCAAGAGCTTGTATCCCCTTCCGATTGAAAAAAGCCGCGCACCCAGGTGCAGCCCAGTTTTCGCGTGCGCTTCTGTACCTCTGTTCTTGGCACCTCTGCCCCTCCTACCCGGTCTCAATGCGCTGTTTTCTTTCCTTCTAGTTGTAGAACTTCCACTTGGCCAGCTTTCCCGTGGTTCTGGATGATAGCTGCTTTGTCTTATAGTTGTAATTTTAATGTTGTTGTGGGAGGAGGCACGTACAGGTTTATACCTTATGCCGCCATCTTGGTTCTCTCCGATGAGTTTTATACAGCTGTTTCTTTTGTAAAATATGGAAGTGTATTTACCATATATACAAGAATGTTGCATCCTTTTTAAACTACAGTAGCTTAATATCCAAGATCTGACCTCCACTTGGGAGTATCTTTTACTTAAGGGAAAGGAAAGGAAGTTTTGGTAAGTGAAATCTGTAGACGGATGGTTAGCTGCTCCCTTCTCCCCCAGGTTTATTGTAGAAACCAACAGGCATTACATTTGTCTCTTTTACTTATTTTTCACTTTTATATCTTAATTGTATACCAATTAGTTAACTAAGTGAACAAGTCATAAAGACAAATAAGAGTTAATTATAGGTATGAAATATCAGCCAGGAATAATCTAGAACCATTACGTCTGGTAGCTTTAAAATGGCTTTTTTATAGTATGGTTATGTTAAATGTCTCAATTAAGAACCGGTATTTTAAAATGATGTGGAAACAAAGTTTGCTCTAACTAATGAGGCATGAAATACTGTTTTCTTGCTGTAATATGCTATAATATAGTGTTTTTTCCTTTTGCTACAAGTTACTGATTGCCCTATAAGTGGGATAACCATATAATTTATTGTCCAACCAGATTCTTTTGAGGATGAAAAGAAGCACTATTAATATTAATACTAGAACAATAGGAATAAACAGAATTGACCGGGACAAATGGGAACTTTTATATGTGCATGACATAGTCAGGTAGTCTCTCCTCCACAATGTAAACTTTTTAGTAAAACCTGAATTTAAGTGGTTTGTTTTTTTGCTCTAATTTTATTATAGGCATTGCCTGTATCACAAAAAGTTAGTTCTGATCATTTTGATATAACTGTATAGAATTATTTTATAAAATCTCTGCTTTTTCTCTACTTTTAAATATACTTGGTGCAGTTTATTCTACCAATAGGTTAAATGAATGTAGAAAAGTAAATTCTTGATCACATACCCAATAATATCAAGTACTTTTCCTCTTTATTAGCACTTGAACATTATTTTTATTATTTTTTTGCCTTCCAGACAAATTATGAAAACAGAATATATAGCCTGAAAGTAGAATGTGGACCTAAATACCCAGAAGCTCCTCCATCAGTTAGATTTGTAACCAAAATTAATATGAATGGAATAAATAATTCCAGTGGAATGGTAAGTTAAAGTACTCATTTTATTCTTATATAACTTATAATATATAGTCAGGAGAAAGTAAAAAAAAAAAAAAAGGACCTTTGTTTTGTTTAGATAAAAGTCTAAAGAAGTTTATTTTATGTTGTTTTTCTTTTATGGCTCAACCCATCCTTAACGACCTTCAGGTACCAGCCTATATAGGTGTGATAGCAACACTTCTTAGGGTTTTAGTTATTGCTTCAGTAGTCATATTTCATTGAGTTCTTATTTGGTGAAAAGATGACCATTTAAAAAAATGTTATTTTTCTTTAGGGTTAAGTTATATTTGGTGAGCTTAAAATGATGAATATTTATGAAGAGGTTTTTCTTTGAGGAACCAAGTATGTCTGTATTGGAATAAGTAGTCATAGTTGAACACTGTTTATTTAAAGCAAATAAACCAAAATGACACACTCTACCTGACTCACACAAGAAAATTAGTGAAAATAGTGGAATTTCTAATATAAGTAGATTGTTAGGTTTAGACTTTAAAGTTTAGGCTCTTGCCGAAACTGGTTTGGCTCAGTGGATAGAGCGTCGGCCTGCGGACTGAAAGGTCCCAGGTTCGATTCCGGTCAAGGGCATGAACCTGGGTTGCGGGCACATCCCCAGTGGGAGATGTGCAGGAGGCAGCTGATCGATGTATCTCTCTCATCGATGTTTCTAACTCTCTATCTCTCTTCCTTCCTCACTGTAAAAAATCAATAAAATATTAAAAAAAAAAAAAAAAGTTTAGGCTCTTGAGTTGCCATGTTGAGATCACACTGATATGCAAAATGCATGTTAGGAATAACAATAACACAATAATAATAAATGAACTTCATCTATCTTAGGAAATAGAGTGTTAGCAATATTCTTAACTTCTGTGTGTTCCTCCTTATCTCATCCCTATGTTCTCTTTCTCCACCAATGGTAATTAATATCTTGAAAAAATTTTTTATATTTACTTATTTTTCTTTATAGTTTTACCTAATGTACTACAATATTCTCCTCCCTCTTTCCTTCCTATCTATCTATCTATCTATCTATCTACCTATCTAAAATCATGAATTTATACCTGTACCTCTAAGTCTATTCCAAAACTACAGGGTTTATTACAGATTTTATTTTTTCCATATTTGTAATTCTCTCCTCCAACAGTGAGAAACCTGGCTTTCATTATCCTTAGTCCAGGTTGGGGCAAAAGTAGGTTTATAGTTGTGAGTATGGGAAACACAGAGCTTATTCTTGTATTATCATTTATTAATTACTAGAGGCCCGGTGCACAAAATTTGTGCACGCGTAGGGTCCCTAGGCCTGGCTGGCGATCAGGGTCAATCTGTGGGGCACCCGGTGGAGTGATCGGGGGACCCCCGCTGGCACCCTCCTTGGCTGGCCTGGTGCCATTTGCTGGTCCCGCCTCCCCACTGCCGGTCGCCTCCCTCTACGGGGCGACCGGTGGGGCGATCTGGGGAGGGGGCACCCACTCACGCTTGCCTTGGCTGGCTTGGGACCTGTGGGCTGAGGGCAGCTCCTGAATTGAGTGTCTGCCCCCTGGTGGTCAGTGCGCACCATAGCGACCAGTTGTTCTGCCATTTGGCCGATTTGCATATTAGGCTTTTATTATATAGGAATTTGTGCATGGGTGGGGTCCCTCAGCCTGGCCGGCGATTGGGGCCGATTGGGGCCACAGGAGGTTGGCCGGCAGCCCCGATAGGTGCCATGGGGCTGGCCAGCTGGGGGGAGGGAGCGTGGGAGGTTGTTTGGCCAGCCAGGGGGAGGGACTGTGGGAGTTTGGCTAGCTAGCCCTATCGTTGCCAATCAGGGCCAGCTGGCCTCGGGAGGTTGGCTGTGGTAGCACACTGACTACTAGGGGGCAGCTCCTGCATCGAGCATCTGCCCCCTGGTGGTCAGTGCGTGTCATTGCCACCTGTTGACTGGTCGTTAGGTCACTTAGGCTTTTATATATATAGATAGGATTGTATTATTTTCAGTTGTAAACCTACTTTTGCCACACCTTTATATTTACTTAAATTTGCTCAGTGCTCCCAGTATGTAACCACACTTTTGGCAATAGGTTTAGCCCTGGACACACAGCTAGCTCTTCACACTCCAATGGTGGGTCTCATATAGGCTCATACCCTTCTGCTGGGTGCACTGGCCAAAAGCCTGACCCTGACAGAGGAAGAAGGTACAAAGGTCATTAGAAATCCCAGTTCAGGACCTGCCAAGTCACTCCCAGATCTCCCTATCTGGTATGTGCCAACTCAGAGGAGCATTTAGTCCATTTACATTTAATGTACAATAATTATTGATGTGTTCAAGTTTAAATAATTCATCTTATTTTGTGAATTTTATTTTCCCATTTGTTTCTTTTATCTTACCTACTTTTGAACTGGTCCTTTCAACCTTTTTTATTCTGTTATTTCAGTGGCTATTCTAGAAATTACAGTGTGAATACTTAATACTATTATGTTAAGTAGTATTAAGAGATGTGATGGAAACAGGATTAAGAAACATTTTAAATTTACAGAAGGATATTGTTTAGGGAACTTCTTTATGACATAACATTGCCTTTATGAGGGTGATACCTTTTTTTAAAATATATTTTTATTGATTTCAGAGAGGAAAGGAGAGGGAGAGAGAGATAGAAACATCAATGATGAGATAATCATTGATTGGCTGCCTCCTGTGCACCCCCTCTGGGGATTGAGCCCAAAACCTGGGCATGGACCCTGAGTGGAATCAAACCCCCCCCCCCCCCCCTCATTCTTAGGTTGATGCTCAACCACTGAGCCACGTTGGCCAGGTGAGGGTGATTTCTTTAATTAAATTTCTCTGCCGGGCCCTGCCAGTGGTCGGCAAACTCATTAGTCAGCAGAGCCAAATATCAACAGTAGAACGATTGAAATTTCTTTTGAGAGCCAAATTTTTTAAACTTAAACTATATAGGTAGGTACATTGTTATTAACTTAATTAGGGTACTTTTAAGGCTTAGGAAGAGCCACACTCAAGGGGCCAAAGAGCTGCATGTGGCTCACAAGCGGCAGTTTGCCCACCACGGCCCTAGCCAATTTGACTTAGTGGATAGAGTATCGGCCTGCGGACCATAGGGTTCCAGGTTCAATTCCAGTCAAATCTTGTACCTTGGTTGTAGGCTCCTCCCAGGCCTGGGCCCTGGTCGGGGAGTGTGCAGGAGGCAACCAATTGATGTGTTTCTCTCATTGCTGTTTCTCTCTGTCTTTCCCTCTCTCTTCCACTCTCTAAAAATCAGTGGAAAAATATCCCTTGGTGAGGAATAACAACAACAATAATTTCTCTGCCGGGAGTAGCTTTTCTTCTCAACTGATGGTTTGTTTTCATATTATAGACTCTGTAAACTTAAGTAATTAATGGTTGATTCTGCACTATTGTGGGAACTAGTAAATTCAGGGTTCAGTTTCAAACTGACCTTAAATAATCTCTACCAATCTTTTTAATGACCTTTATCTGATCTAAAAAGGACTGTTATATACCTTTTGACATTTTTACCCCTTCCAATCTTTACAAAGCAAGCTGCCGAAGGGATTTTTCTAAAACACCAATTGTGTCACATCACTTTTGTGCTTAGAATTCTTTAATAGCTTCAGCCACAATGTGCATGCTTCTTGTTATGGCTCATCAGCTCACAGAGTTCACACAGCTCTGCACACCTTACATTTGGTACTAGGAGCTTTGCACTTTTTGTTCTTCCTGTCTGGACATCTCCTTCACTCTGGCTAATCCTTACAGATTCTGAATTTAAATGTCACTTTCTTAGAGAAATCTTCTTCCATGATTTCCCAATCTTAATTAGGTATCTTGTTGCTTTATTCTGGTCACATTGTTATTATTTTCCTTTGTAGCAGTTACTGTAAATTTTTTATCACTTTTATTTTAATTTTTGATGTTTTTAAAAGAAATATTTCTAACATACAGTTTTAGAGAATATGTCCAACATCCTCCATCTATCTTTGTCAGATGTTAATATTTTTGTCTTATTTGTAACATCTTTTTTAAAGACTGCATTATAAATAGTTAACTCCTGGTTTCCCCTTTCCATCATTCCCTAGAGGTAGTCCTGTTTTGAATTTGCTGTTACAATTTCTGCGCATGATTGTTGTGCTTTTACTATGCCCGTGTGTGTGTGTTCCTCTATATTGTGTGATTTTGTGTGGAATCATGTCAGTGTTTTTTTTTTTAGATTTATCCATGTTGGGTCATGCATATTAGATTGTTTCTCTTTATTGTTTAACCCATTTTTTACTTGCTGGGCATTTACGTTTTTTTCACTTTGAAAAAATTGTACAAGTGTTTTTGTATCTTAAGGCAGTACAGTACTTCTTTGGAACTAGTATTTATTTATTGGTTCTAATATTGTAGAGAAAAACTTTTTTTTTTAAATCTTTAAATTCTTTATTAGTTAAGGAATTACAAATGTGTCCTCATTGCCCCCCCCCCCCCATTAACCCCCATCCGCCCCCCCCACCTCATGCTCTCATCCCCTGTTGTACATGTCCATTGGTTTGGCTTATATGCATGTATCCCCTTACCTCCACCCTCCCCTACTTTCCCTCTGGGGCTTAATAATCTGATTGCTGTTTCTCTGTCTTTGGATCTGTCCCTGTAAAATATAATAAAATTGAATACTAGAAATAAAAAAGACTAAATACAAGCTCTGATTTTTAAAAAAATAAAATTTCTCTGTCAAATTGCTGTAGAACTCTCTAAACACCTACTCTCAATCCCTATGTTTATCTTGTCATGGGCTAGTAAAAATCAGTTCAAGGCCTGGCACTTTGAGGAGCACTTTTTCCAGTGTGTATTGCCTAGAAGTGGAATGTCTCCTGAGGTGTGGCTTTTCTTCAGCTTCATTGAATATTGCCAAGTTTCTTTCCACAGGGCTGTGTCCATGTCTGTCCCACTCAACCCTGTGAACGTACATTATTCCCACCAATTCATAATGTCAAGCTGGAATGGGGATT